AAAAATAGTCTTAGTGTAAGATCATGTAATAACAAATTAATGATACAAATATTGAGACTGATTTATTTACATATAGTGAAGTATAATGAACCTCAAGAAAGAAAATATAAACCAAATTCAGAATTCTAAAAACAGCGTGAAAATTGATAATTAATAAAACCCAGTTGCGATAAACAATACTAAGAATAATCTTGAAAATGAGAATATTAACTAAAAAATAATGTCAATGTTATAATAAATATTAGTATCCTAGATGTCGAAATTATTCAATCAATAATTGTATTTGATATAATCATTAAGAAAACTTTACTCACCAATCAATAACTAATATAAAAATATGTTATCTAATTATCAAGTATAGATTAGTGAGTAGAATTACTAAATAAAATCTTTAATAAAATAATTAAATTCGATATTAAATTTTTTTTTTTGACATAACTTATATTTTTAAATTGCTGTATAATAAAATTCATTTCTAACGTATTGGTTATTTGAGAAATCGTGTGAAGTTGGAGTACAAGAATGACAGTAGTATATAAAATAAGTTTTTAACAAATTATCTATGAGATTTAATAGATAAACTCGGTGCCACCTCATATTTTCAGCTGTCTGTAGTTCATAAACTGGACATTGAAGTATTGAATCAAATATTGAGCATTCCTACAACCAATCAACCCAAACAAATAGATATACTAAACCGTCATTATATTTATGCATAAATATTCCTTTCAGTATAGCATATGATAGACTATTTTCTTTTTGAATTTGTACTATATTACCAGAATACAAATTCATGTATATATCAAAGATGCTATCATTATTTAATAAAGTGTAACTTATTTGTTTGCAGAATTTTACACTTTTATATACTAGAGCCACTCTTTTTTGCATATAAATTTCATATGCACTCATAATGTCATAAGAAAACTGAAGTTTGTCATCAAGTTTGATAGGTTAAAAAGGTTGGCGAATTTCGCTTTTGACAGACATTTTCATGTTTTGATGTTTCTTACTTTGTCATCATGCGATGTGATATTGGTATTTATTGCTTAACGATAAAGAATTACAATTATTATACATATTAAATAATGATAAAATTTTTTAGTCAACAAAAACTCCAAAATATCAAAGAGAAATGTTGACCATATTAAGAGCACAAAAAGCTAAACTTTTACAAATATACAAAAGTTAGAAATTTAGAAATATATTCTTAAAATTAGAGATATGTGGAAAAATGTTAACTATCGCTATATTTCCTTTCATATTTGTCAAATAATGCCAAGTTATTTCTTTTTAAGAAACTGCATATTGTTAAGAATTATTATTATATTAATGATTATGACTGTAAATAAAATAAATCAAAATCATATGATAGAAGTAAAACATTACCTGGCTTAGAATTTATATTCACTTTTGCTTATTTGGAGTTATGTTAATTGAAAATTTATATGTACTTACTAATATCAGTATCCTTTTCATGAATATTCTGTATCATATACAAATCAGATAATATAGATTGAAGCAATAGATCTCTTGTAAAATTTTGAAAGCCTTGCCCAATGTATAAATAGCGGCTGTCTTTGTCTCCGTCAACTTGATGACAAATTGTTTGGAGTGTATTATGCTGTAGAATGAAATCCAATTCTATATTATTGCAATTCATTTTTGAAATAGAATTTTTGAATATTTTATGTACGGCTTTCTTGATCCCCATGAAGGTATTAATGAGTGTTCCAAAGTTACGGGCATTCTGAATATGGTGTCAGTTTATATATAAGTTTGGTAAATTGTTAAACTTATCTGAAAAAAGCTAAAAATACAATAATATAATTAATAGACAATTCATCTATCATCTGGAGAGGATCTACAAATTTTATAAGTAAATTTTACTATTAAGCCAAATGTGG